ATGTGCTGAACTTATTATGCTTCGTTGATTCGTTATATCTCTTGCATTTCACATTCCACGTTTGGTATTCGTGTTGTTTTGATGCTAAAATTGATGATTCTATCGTCATTGATGTTGAAACTGATTTGATTGTTGTTTGTTGTTCAGAATTTTAGATACAGTGTTTTTCAATCTCAATGGTATGTTCCTTCGGAAGTGGGAGAATGGAAGTTATGGCAAGGCTTCTAGCTTCTGGAACTTTCTCCCAAAATGTAGCAGGTAGAACCACAACCTATTTCTAAGATTTTCTTAAGGAAGTTTTTTCACCACAAAAATCACTTTTGACATTTACATGCTTGTTTGATTAGGCTTATATTAAAAAGCAGAAGCTGGAACTAAGCTTTCATGAGAAACTTTATTTTTCAGCTTCTGAAAAAGAACAATACAACTACAAGCATAATTACACTTCTAGGAAAATTTTGAATCTTTTTTTAAACTTAAATGAACGGCCCTTAGTCATGGACTCATGGTGCCTATTCTTGGCTTTGTTTGGTGGGATTATATTTATATGCTTTCTGTCTCTGTCGTTTATAATTAGTGGACATTATTTTTTGTTTTCTGATTAAAGTCATTTGTTCTTGCATGTGCATGGAAGATGACTTTACGCGGCAGAAGTATGCTGCAGGGTATATTTGTACAGAACTACTTGAGGCAGATGAAGCAAATTCGCTTGATGTTGAAGGTTGCCTTTAAATTTTGTAGTCAATTTTAGATAGTCCCCATAAGATGTTAGTTTAAAAAAAGGGCTGTCAGTGCATGAGGCTCCTACCTAGTGGGGTCTGGGGAGGGTAGATGTATGACGCCTTACCCTTGCAAGCTAAGAGCCTAAGAGACTGTTTCCTGGATTTGAACTTATGACCTCCAGGTCATAAGGTAAGTAACCTTACCGTTGCGCTGAGGCTCATCTCTCCATTAGATGTTAGTTTATCATTTTATATTTTATTATGGGTTCTGTTAACTTGGGTATAAGGCATTTGTTAAGAAATAAAAATTGTATTTATCACTGTTTAATAATTGTAAAAAGAAGAAAGTATTGAAGTCTGGCTTTCAACATATTAAACAGATCTATTTTCGTGTAATCATTGCTATTTTTTATTTCTTCATCCTTACTATAGGTCTAGGGCACATATTAATAAAACTCTTTATATTATGTTATTTGCTTTTCACTTGAATTGGTTTTGCCATTCTGCTTTAGCGTTCTATTATTGCATTTGCTCGAATTTCATGACTTTATTTCATAATTTGGTTTCATTTTCATGTCTTTTTTATGCCCACAGATATGCATGTGTACGGTGAGAAGCCTATGACTGATCCATTGCAGCTGGTGAGGTTTGCCTCTTTCTTCTACTTGTGTGCTATTGGACTAGCATTTGTTTGCTTCTTGCTTGAAACCTATCATGAAGTTTCTTTATTATTATTATTGAGAAATGACAGGATTTTGATGGACCCACCACTATGTTACTGGGCATTAGTCCTGTAATAGTTATAGCCTAATATTGCTTCCATAAGTTCCACAGTTTCAGTGTAGCTTTGAATACAATAATTTAATTTATGTTGTTTGGCCTTGTTTTAAAACTCTGAGCTTATTGACATATGATCTATACTGCTGTTTATATATGACTTTTTCCATTAAAAATATATAATTATCAACTTTTTTCAGTGCATGTGCAATGTATGAACTAATGCAAAGTACTTTTGTAGCGTTTAAAGAACTGAAGTCATTATGATAACGATAAAGTATAGTTTGAGTCATTACTCTGCCTTTGTATCTTGAGTAAAGTGGTGAACTCTTCAAAACCTTCTTACTATGGGAGCTGATACAACTACATCAATCCTTGATTCATGTCTTTAATTTATTTTTCTAGCTTATGATGACAGTTGATCATTATGGGCTTTAGCCTCTTCACCTTATGGTTGATTGTTTACTTTACATTTAGGACTTTGTCCAATATGCCATTGCATCCTGTAGACTTGAGAATTATTGTTTATGACTAGTTTTTTATTGGTCAACACTCAATATAAATGCCTTTTTTTGGATTTCTCATTGTTAGATTTTACACGGAGTGTCTTTTCATTCTAAGGACAAAGAAGCTCATCTAACATAGTTTTTTGAAAACAGTTTCTGCCTTTTGTGTGAACTTTCTAAGCTGTTAATTGATTTAGATATTGTAAATATCTTCATTTTCCAGCATTATCTGCTTTGAAAAATATAATTTGAATTGATTCATTTGACTGATTGTCGTTTTGAGGTATGCTGCAATGTTTGCAAGAAACCAATCAAGGACAGCCAATATGCTTCTCATGCAGGTTTGGTGGCTTCTTTTCCCTGTTTTAAAACATTTTGGTCCTTCTTTATGTGATGTTTGAGGTTTAATAATTAGTTACCCTGTGGCTATGTATGCTCAGAATGTTATCCTACAAATTTTCAAATTATTGAGTTAGAAATATTGACCTGTATATAGTGCTAGCCAGCTTATTACCAGCTTCTCTTTTTTGGTCCCATTTTGTTTTTATAAGCTTCTAATATTGACATTTCCTGGGAATTTTCCTCTATCTTTCCTCCCATTTTGTCAGAACTTTGTAGGTCACTAAAGCTCACTGAACCAACTATCTTGGAGCATAATGGTAGAACAAGGAAGCGAAAATCTGCTAGGAAAGAAAAGAAAAAGTTATCAACTTCTTGTGCAAGTATCCTTAAAGTAGAATTGTTTAATCAGTTACATATATGTTCCTCTGTCATATTTTTGCCTATCTATTATATTTTTAGTATCTACTGCTTTAATCTCATGATGTTTACCTTTGAAGATGCTTTTAATAATCACACGTTTCGAAATTTATATTTTGGATTTTTAGAATGTTATATCCTCTCCAAAGGGAGTCCTTAGTTTTTCTGATGACATTTTAATCATATGTAGCCCGTAGTCATAAAATTGATTTTTGTACTTTAACCCCACATAGACCAAGCTACTGAAGTTGGGGAGCGGAGAAGGGCTGAGTCTGTGGATAACATTGACACTGCTGTGTCACAACCCAATTTGAACAGTCAAGTCAGAGTGACTTCCTTTTCCATTGAGGCAAAAGGTAAAAACCCAGTATTTGACATTTTACTTTTGACTCTGTTAGTCCAATTTTTTGGACGCTTACTTTGACTCTTCCCATCATTCAAATAAAGTTTATGAAACTGAACATTAGGAATGTCCTTATTGCTGTATATGTATGCTCATGCATAACCATGTCGTTGTTCTGCATAGTAAATCTTCTTTGGTTTTCAGATTTAAGTTTAACCTCTTGTAATATATGTTAATGTATATTTTTGTTAAAAGTGTTCCCAAGAGTCATCTCAATTGGTAGAGTTGTGGGACATAAAGTAATAAAGTATGCGTGCCCCCCCTTCTTAGAAAAACAGAAAAAGGGCTTGGTTATGAAAAAATATTTTTGTTACAAGTATATTATACATTGTTGATATTGTAGACAAGTATATGTTTACGTGGGTCAGATTTTATGCTTTTTGCCTATTTTCTTGGTAACATGATTGGGTGCATCTCACAAAATTGTTTTAAGGGAGTTAGGTTTTACTTTCTGGGTGTCTGTTATGCCATAATATTGATGTGCTATTCAACTTGAAAAAACTATGTTTATTTAGTTCTGATTTGCTTAGGACACTCAACTTGTGAGATGCAGCATTTATGATGGTGGATGTTACATGGATTATTCCTGGAAATATAGACCACCCAGCTAATTCAGAAATTTAAGATTGTATACAAGCAGTTGTTCACCGCTGTGCGTGCACAGTTAAAATTCTCAATCAAGTTTATCTACCGAGCACATATTATATGTTCAATTGTAAATGCTCATAGCATACTTCTAAGTTCTAAACTTCATTATATTTTGACACTGAAAGATATCTAATTTTTTATCAAGAAATTATTTGGTAATTGTTTATAACATTCTTGCAAGTACATGTCCATAGGCCTCCCTTTTTGGCTGCTGAAGAAAATGAGTCCCAGTACATCAAAGCTTTTTATCCTGGCAATAAGAAGCATAACTGATATTCTTTTTTTTAATCATAATCCACAGGGAAGGATTTGCTTGAAGGAACTGTTTTGGAACATGGAAGTCCTGATCATAAAAACATTGGGCTAGTCCCTGAGCAACATGTCAAGAGCAATGGTATAAAATATATATTTATATTCAGTTTAACATGTATAGCCTTTTTGCAACTGTGTTGGAGAGGTTTCCATGCCCTTTCCTTAAATATTTATTTCATAGAATTCTTCAGTTAAGTGCCTCTAATATGAGTTCTCTTTCTCTGATGTTGGTACAACACTTGCATGTTTTTGTTGAATTAGATTTTCCTGCACCTCTTGCTACAAAGATATATTATCCGCAAAGAAGCAATCGACTGCGTGCTGCAATTCGTCAGCTTTACTTCCAGGACTCAAGTGAGGATACATGCACCTGATTTGAGTCCAAATATATCACATGGAGAGATGGAAAAAAGAAGGATCCTTCTTTTAATCAAATCGACAATGTGATCAACAAGGTGTGTTAATCTTGAGTCTTCTTAAGGTGGATTGTTTGGACTATAGGTTGACTCTTGTGACCTGTGTTATGCAGCCTGTCTGGAATTTAATGTTGGATGACCAGACAGACATAGTTTAAGTTTCGTATGTTGTCAACCTAAAATACCATGCTAATGACCTAAACCTGACTTTGTTTAGTTTTTTTCTTTTTGAAAAGCATACTCACTTGCCAACTTTCTGCTCTCCCTCCCCCAAAAAAACCTAAAATACCATGCTAATGATCTAAATCTAACTTTGTTTTTTTTTCTTTTCTTTTGGAAAAGCAGAGCCATCAGCAAATTTGTTCTCACCCCAGGATTCGGGTCATATTCTTGCAAAACACTCAGAAGTTTGCTTGGTTAAAGCAGGAGCCATACCAAGCGGTGGCTTGTCAAATCAGTTTCTTGTTGGTAATGTTTTAACTTCTGCAGCCACACATGTTGGTTTGATGAGAAGAATCTTTCTTCCGAAGTCTTATCCTTTTGCAAACAACTCAGGTGATCGTGTATTAAATTATCTTTTGGTTTTATTCTTATACTTAGCGGCATATGCTAAATTAAGAAAATCCATTAACCATATGCTTTTGATTTACAGCACTTTGGTTCTGTTATGATACTAATTTTCAAGTTCATGCTTTACAAAGAAGCAGACAGAAATGATAATTTTCAAGTTCCCACTAGATAAATCATAGCATATTTTTATTTGCAAAACTTCCATAGATGAAACAATTAAGAAAAATTTAGAGATCAGTATTTTGTTATGATATAGCAGTATAGTGTCTAGTGGGATTAAGGCTTGATTGTTGTTGTTTTATTTATTTAAACTAATATTTTTGTGGAATAAAAGTTGTCCATGGGAGTGATGTGCTTGATTTTGTAGGAAATCCACTGGGAGCAATGCAGCAACCATATGGGAGTGTCCCTGTCATTTAGTAACCTTGGTAGGAATTTTTGTGGCTAGGTGAGTGTACATGAAAAAATTGTTATATGTGTCTGAATGCTGATGTTGATAGCTCCTTTAAGTTGAGGTTTTACCTCTTCTGTGTTAACTATTTGTAACTTCATAACAATTTGGACTTTCCAAAAAAATAGGTAAATGTTGATTATAGAATGCCCCAACTGGCATAGTGCATAGCAGATTTGCATCATTCATGAGATTGCAAGGTTTTTTTTTAATATAAAAATATTTGACATGAAGATTTTACAAAATTATCAGCTATCAAAGTTGCAAAGTTTCGGGATCTGCTAGCGATATTATGATCCATGCCCATATTTATTCAGAAAGCATTCTTGAAAACAATTTATTTTTTGAGATAATCTGCCTTATGTGATTTATTCAGGATCATAGAATTCCTAAATTTGTGAATTACAATTTTTTTATTGAGTTTATGATTATTCAGAAAATTGTATCCCAAGTAAACAGCCATCCTGTTTTTGGGTTTGTACAAGTGCTGTTTGTTTGGTCAAGGCCAGGTATGGATAACTGATTGTAATTTGTATGTGCAGATTGTCCATATCTGAGTTATGCTATTTTAAGAGATATGATTATTTGAGTTATATTTTCAGAATGTATACTATGTGAAGTTTTGATTTTTTGAATCCTTGAATAGTGCCCAAAGTCACTTTAGTATTTTTTTTATAGATCAAGCTAATAGCACATCTTTTGTGCAATTCATTGATGTGAATACTGAAGAATATTTGTAAATGCTATGAATATTCATACCTATCTAAGGTTGGTTGAAAGTGGAGGGTTAATGCTCCAATTCAATGAGTAATCAACTAATTAAGTAAAGTCTTGTAGGGTGGGGAACTGGTATGGTTAGTTGTCAATAGCAATTTTTATAAGTTTATCATGCTCTTTAGTGAATTGTGATGGCAATAGACAAGGACTGCATTTTGTCTTTAATGTGGGGATATTTGGATCTAAGTTTTGATCAAATATCTAAAAGCAGTTCCTTTCTTTATGCCACATGCAATAAAAAATATCAACAAATATCTGAGTAGCATACCATGTGCTAGCACAAATTGAGATTGCAACTAGCTTAATGTTTTGTGAAAAAAATGGTACTTATTCATCATAAAACACTACTCTTTAGTGGGTTTTAAAGTTTCTCTATCTGTGATGTGGCTCAAGGTTGTTGTAGAGTTGGTGCTGTGTGGGTGCCTTAGTTTTATCTGCATTCTCCTTTTCCTTTTCTATATATGTTTGATTTTGATATATTGAATTACTTATTCTTAGTTGTTGTATGTTTTTAGAAATTAAAGTCTTAAAATTAAATTTTAATATAAATAGCATGGCTTAAAATAATTGTTTATAATCCAGCTCGAAATTTGCATAGAGTGAGTCTTGATGTAATAATAAAGTTTTTTGTCTTCTGACCTAAGATAGTTAATTCAAATACTGAAAACAATCCTCCTTTTAGTGGCGAGGATAAAATTGGACAAATCTATTTTTTTTTTCTCATATCATTAGGTGAAATTCCTTTCATAGCTTCAAACTTACTATATATAATATATGAGCTCCTTTTGGGCTAATGGGAAAGAGCGTGTTATGGAACACAATAAGGAAATAAAATATTTCCTCGTATCGAGACATAACATATCTCTTTAAATTAATTCATTGTTTCATGTGTTTTCTGTTTTATAGCACATGTCTTATTCTTTTTATGTTATAATAATATAGAAAAAAGTAAGACATATTTTAAACAATTATTAAATTTAAAGAGATAAGTTGTCTCATGATGAAATATTTTATTATTATTATTATTAAAGTTTTATCCATATTTTGATGTTTATGAAACACTAAGTTATCCTTCTTTTTTAAAACAGCCACTATGAGTGTGCATCGGAATTTTTATGTGTAGGTTGGGATAATTGCATGATGTTGCAAATGCTCAGAATTGTCTAAACTTTTAATCATAGTCCCCTTTCTTCTCTGTCACATGTCCCCAATATGTTCTTAACTTTTATACGTGGTCCTTCCCTTTGTCACTTTCTGATCCATTATTGCCCTTTACCTGATCTGTGATTCTATTATGTACTAATTTTTAATTCCCTATTTTACTTTTAATATTTTCAATTTTTACAAAAAAAATCATATAATACTAGGTAATTATCATTAACACAATAATCATATATCTTACTTTAAATTGGATATTATAATAAATATAAAAAATTAAAACATAAAGTGCATCTAATATAAAAAACATTCTAATTCTATGAAATAACTAAATAAATATTAGTAATACATGACAAACACAAATTCAAGAATCTATGATTTTTTTCTTCTAACTCTTCTAATCATGATTTATTCATACAAAAACTTCAACCTGAATTGTATATACCACTCAAATCATCCACCTCTTATGAATGCATGTAGTAATAAAGCATACCACGTTTTGGTTTTTGTAGTTTTATGGATTATTTATGAGTTAGAGTTTTAGAGCGGAAATAAAGGAAACTTTGAAACTATTTCAGACTTATATTTCATAACTCTTAAGTTTTCTATTTTCTTTCATTCTACTCCAAAACTCAATAATTTGTAAAGATACCATTGAATTTATATAACTACATGCATTCACAATTTCACATCATGTAAAATCGTCTATGTTCTAATTTTGCATATTAGTTGAACTAACAAAGTAACTATAAAATAAGATTATAATTATACAAATCTAAAACACGTGTATACATTCTACTTATTACTTTATATAATTCCTTTAGATACCGCTTCCCACGTCCCAATTTAACATAAGATGATACCATTTTCTTAAATTCAGTGGGTGCATGGGATTGAGAACATGTTTTGCTTATTTAATATTTCGGTTTTCCTATGATGCATAGGATAAAGACATTAATATATCTTAATTCAATACTTTAATAAATCTTCATTTTTGTTTTATCACTATATATATATATATTCCCATAGCAAGCAAAATTGGGTAGCAAATTAATCTTAGTAGTTGATAATGGGACCTAACATTGTAATGAAAGTAATTGTTTTTGTGGATAGAGATATTAATATGGTGGGGCTAGAATGACCTCTACCTACTACCATGTTGTGGAAGGAAGCCTAATAACATTGCCACTAAGCTTTATCCACCCAATATTTGAAGAATTTGACAAGGACATGAAATTTATTTTCTTCTTAGGCACTATATTTTGATCATGTGCACAATAATGTTATCTAGGACAATAAGTTTTTAAGGCAATCACTTATTCTTTTCATTAATATCTAATTTGGTTCCTTAAATTTTTTATCTGTATTAATTTAGTCCCTGAAAAATTGTAAAACCTAAAATGATCTTAAAAACTAAAAATATCAAATTAAGTCAAATTAACCATTTTAACATATTTTATGATATCTTATACAACTATTTTACCTTATATTTATAGTCATTGAAAACTAATTTAAACTTTTATTTTTGATATCAAATTGGGAGGTAAGAAAATTTACAAGGAGTAAAGTAAGTTTTTACTTCTAATTTTTTAAAGAGAGATTGATGGGAAATTTTGTAAGTGGAGGGAGAAATGAGAAGAAAAATTTGAAAAAAAGGTTGGATTAATAATTTAATTGATTATGCCTAAGATTAAATTCATCATCAAATTTGATTATAAGCAATCAATCAATCAGTTACGTGACAAACATTTCCAAAATAATTGAATGTTACAGTGATGACTAATTAATGTGTGATTGACTATATATGACATAAACATTGGTCGTGTCAAATTATGTTATATAAGGAAAGAAAAGTTTGATAGATATTTATGTGTTACTTGAACTTTAATTTGTTTAAAAAAATTGAAAATAGAAGAATTATTCAATCTTTAGTTGATAAAAATATTAGGTTTTAAGATGTATTTGGATTAAAATAATATACTTAATAAAGTATATTGTAATGTAGAATTTTCTATATGATTGCAGATTTCTAGTTTTGGTATTATAAACGTGTTAGAAAGACTCAAAATGTTGGAGTTGCCTAATTTTGATTATATAATATTGCATGAAAATTTGAGCTATCTTAGATTTAGTGTAATATTTATGCAGTTTATATACAATTAGTACACATTCATTATTTATTTGTATTATTTTTAAAAAAATTCAATAATAAATAATGAATGATACACCGACAATATCAATACAAACATTTTTCTATCAGTTTGTTGCGGAGTTTCAAATTATTTTATATCAGTTGTACCAAAAATAACAAAAAAAAATGATTTATATTTGTATGATTTTCATTCTATATACAAGTCAGATAAATAATATTAATTGGACTAATTAAATTTTTAACTCAGAATTAATGCAAACCTAAGTGTAAATATTACACAGTTAAACTTTTAATAAATTAATACTCAATATATTAATAATAATTTTAAGATAATATTTATCTATTCTAACTTGGTGTAGTATTAGTATACAAAATTAGCAATTTCGATAAAATTAATAAGACAATAACACTACTTAGTCGCTATGTAATTGAGAAGTCCTAGTTTTTACACCTATATTTATTAGAATATACGTTACATATTTTAAATTATATAATAGAGAATATATTGATAATACATTGATATAGAAATAATATCTCAAATTATGATGATTAATTATATATTAGATTTGTTTAGAGTATATCTTAGAAATTTTTTAGGATTGAGATGAATTTATTTTATCTTTTATGATTTGTTTATTTATTTAATTAGAAGTCTAATATTAATATAAATAGAAGTTAATATTGTATCTTTTGTATTACAATATCATTCAAGATATTATTAATATAAATATTATTTTGAGCATTATATTTTCTACTTCCATAATTAAACCCAATAATTTCAACATGGTATCCGTATTGAGAGAACCTTAGACTTGTGATCATTTTATTAATTCATTTTTCAGTTGCTACTTTCTTTCCCACTTGTTCTTAGTTCATTTGGTCATCTTACTTTAAACGTTCTAGATTGAGGGGGTGCTGGACATAGAACTGTTGAATGTGGTTCAGATATTTCTTAGCCTTGTTGTGGTAAGTACTTGTGTTGATCAATATTCTACTTGATGCTCTTGATATTGTTGTAATTATTGGTTAAATGACGGTGATGTTCTCTAGTTTTCATTATTAAAGATCAATCCTCAAATTTTGTCCTCGTTGTTTGGTGTTGCCTGTTGACTGTTGTGCGACAAACATTCTTATTATTTCACTTCTGTCCATATTGGTTAATCTTGAATATAACTTTTATTATAA